GTGAAGGGGGTGGGGGTCGAACTGAGATAGAGCTGTGATCGGGGTAAAGGTAGGATCGAGATAGGAGGAGTACTCGGGAACAGGACATAATAAATTAACAAGGAGGTAGGGAACCGGGTGGAGAGGAAGGTGACTCGTGATGGGTATATGGTGGAAGCTCAGGAGAAGAAAAGGGGGGGTGTGGGTGTGTGGCGAGATGGTATCGTGAGAGAGATGAAGACAAAAATCGGGATGTGTCCAGCGGGGCTGTGGGGGTTCCGTAGGCAGACTAAGGAGGATGGTGGATCAAGGGAGGGGGAGATGGTATGAGGTGACGTGGACGGGCAGGCGGGCTGGACTTGTTTGAGGGGGGGGATCGCGAGACAAAGTGGGGGTCTATGAAATGGAGTGGTGTCAAAATCGGAGTCGGTTGTGATCAAGTCGGGGTTGAGGCAGGTTCGAGTTTGGGAGGGAAATGAGGGAAACGAGATCGGGACTGAATTAGAATCGCAGTGTACTCGGGAGGGGAACGAGTGGGGTTGAGGTTAGGATCAAGAGGGGTACAGCAATGAGAACGGGAGCGGGATTATGGTGGGATCGGGTGGGAGCTGGGTGGGAACGAAGAGGGAACGAGCAGTGTAAGGAAGGCGGGGGGGGGGTTGTAGTGAGGTCGGAAAGGGCCTGATGGGTTGGGGGGTTGGGGTTAAAAGGGGGTCAGTTGAGGAGGGGGGGTGAGGTTGAATGGGGTGTTTCGGTGGAGAGGTGAGATGCACGCCGAAGTGGGATAGGATCTACTCGTGTGGAGTCTACTCGGGGTTCGGGTGGGGTTGAGTCGGGGGAGGGGTAGGATAGAGGTTGTAGCCGGGATGGAATCGGGATGGGGTTGTAAGATCAGGGTCGGGTTGGAGGTGGATTAGGGATAGGCTCGTGGTCCGTGTCAGGAGCTGTTTGTGGTGGGATTGGGATGTGATCGAGGAGGGATTGGGATCGAGACCTGAATGAGGTTCGGGATCGAGCGTGGGATGGGAGAGGGGGCGGGGGCGGGAGCGGGGTCGAGGTGAGATCGGGAAAGAGTCAAGATTGGGTCGGGATCCAAACCGGGATGTGCTCTGTGAGGATCGGTCGTCGGACAATAGGGGAGAGAAGGTGGTGAGAGGGGGGGAGTGGAATGTGGTGGGGAGTATCTTAGGTGGGTTGAGCGCGATGTGGGGTGAAGTCGGGTAGGGCGTGGACTCCCGACGGAGCGAAGCGGTTCTAAACTGGGGTAGTGTCGCGTCGGACTCGGTTTGAGCTCTAATTGGAGATCGGGTGGATTCGCGACAGGTGCGGGGTGGGGTAGTGGTTGGGGTCAGGGTAGGGTCGGGGTGGTGTCAACAAACGGGATCGGGTTGGGGGCGTCGAGGGGACGGGATCGGCGTCGGAAATGAGTTGGGGTGGGAATGGAGGTCGGGGTGGGGTTACGTTCGGGGTGTGGGCGGAGTCGAGACAGTATCGAAGTTGGGGTCAGATCGGGTAATATTTGGGTACGAAGCCAGGATGGGTGATAAGGGGCGGGCGCTGCAGTGAATCCGTGCGGAGAGGAGGGGCGAGCCCAAAGAGGGACAAAGATGTGGTTGCTGGCGCCTGGGCGAATAGCGCGCGTGGAATGTCAGTAGTATGGAGAGTTGAGAGGGTGGAGGAGGGTAGAAAGAGAGGGGGTTTTGGTATTGTCCAGCTCTCACTTTGTCTTATTCTGGTCGTGCGGGGTTACTCTGGCGCGGCGTGGTGTTGTGCTCACTTGCCCGTCGTACATTCCTCGATCCTGATGAGGAACAACCTTGAAGATGTAGAAGTCGTCAGCTGCTGGAAAAGGGCGTCAACCCTTGAGTGCTAGTTGAGTTCGGACGAGAACAGTATTGTCGTATGGCTGCTAGATTGCCTCAAGCCTCCTTTGCTCGCCGACAAAATTTCCTCCCCTTGGTCTGAGAACCGGCTCGGTGCATAGACACTTCTTTCTTCAAACTGCTTGGTGGGGATGTGTTGCGGGCCTAGGCGCGCGCGCGTCGGCTTTCCTCTTCGGTGTGTGCGGCTATGGTTTGGCTACTATGATTGACGATGATGAGCTGCTGTCGTTTCCGGAAACGGGTTCAAGGCGAAAGCTGTCACCGCGCGAAGCTCTCACTTTTCGAATTCGAAAGCTTCGCCTGGTTAGCGCCCGTGCAGGCGCGGGAGCCCAGGGGACCGACTGGCGCAAAAATTAGCGCTGAAAAATGCGCTAAGCGTAGGCGCGAGCGCTTTTCTCTTCCGTTTATTTTATTTTTTTTATTTTGTTGATTAGGACCGGGAATGGAAAGTGCAGTTTGAGTGCTCTTCCTGCTTTTCCCTCCCACCCAGCCCTTTGTCCGCATTCCTGGTTTGGTAAGTGCCACGTCAGCAGTGCCATGACAGGAGCAGTGCCACGTCAGTCGCAGTGCCACATCAGCAACAATGCCAGGTCCGCACTGCCACGTCAGCAACAATGCCACGTCAGTAGTGCCACGACAACAGCAGTACCAACGTCAGCAGTGCCATGCCACCATGACGGTTTCAGCGTTGGGCATGCCAGGCCAATTGGCCAACGAGTCCATTGCCGAGTACTGACAGCGGTTCCAAGCTCAGCTCGCACTAATCGAGGTTGAGGAACAGCGCCAGGCGGCAGCTGAGGCTGCCCGCCTACAGGCTGAAGCAGCGGCAGCAGCTGAAAAGCGGTGGCTTCAGGCCGAAGTTGACGCAGATGCACAGGCCCATCGCAAGGAGGCCCAGGATCTGCTGCAGCGGCACTAAGCCACCAGCATCGACAAGCTCAAGTTCTGGCATTTTGAACCATCCGAGGGCAACACCGGAAGGGCAGCACAAGGAGTTCCTTTCCAAATTTATGACCCGGTTGGTTTACACTTGTAACCACCTGCAGTCCGAGTTAGAGAAACAGCACGAGGAACTAACGAATCTCCGACAGGCAGTGCAGAACCACAAGAATCTGCACGAGGATGCCACACGGGCACTCAATTCCAGTGTTCAGGACTTGGAGCAAGCAACACCAGGACCAGACACTGGCGAACCCAACAGTGCAGCCTCAACCCGCCAATTGGAGGAACGAGTTGACCATGTGGTCGCACTGCTCGGCAACATCAGCACCTTCGCCGCMCCCGCCACCATCAGCGAGCAGTTCGACGCCTTGAAGAACGAGGTTCGGAAATTGCACCAGCCGCCCGAGCACGATGGCAGCACCAGTCCGCATCATTACAAAATGCTGATATTCCGGATCGAAAAGTTTGATGACTATACGCATCAAGACCTGGTCCCTTGGTGGGAGGGCTTTACGATGGAACTTCAGATTCGTCACGTCCCCGAGCACTCGTACATCGGGGCGTTGTTCCTCAACTCAATAGGCGGATGCCAGATCTGGCTCAGCCACCTGGCAACCATCCACGACGTCCAGGTCGCCAATCTGCACAAGAAGATCCGGGAAGATCTGACGAGGCTATGGAAGAAGCATTTCATCGTTGATGACGCCCCGACGCTCGCCATCAACCGCCTCTTCAGCATGACTCAAGGCAACACACCAACACATGACAGGCTCACGGAGTGGCAAAAGATCGTGGCAACGCCCGATCTCGACTTACCATTTCCGCATCTGCACCGAGAGTTCTACAACCGGTCGTGTGCCGCCTTGAGCCTCGCCCTCAGTGATCGAGAACTGTACACGATCTTCGCCGAGATCATCGACAAGGCGCGTGAGATCATCAAGACCAACCGGACTGCTGCACACGAGAAGTCGGCGTGGCAGCCAGCCCATGTGGAGAAAGGAAAATTTGGTCCGCGTCCGCAGCCCATCGCTGCAGTCCAACTGGACAACATTGTGGAAGACCCGGCATCCACCCCAGCATCACGTGAGGGAGATCAGGTGGCCGTTGTCCAGCTGCGAAGCAACAACTCCCGTGGAAAAGGGAAGGTGAAAACCACATCGCCGGCCAGAAATGGACAGCCAGTACCATGGGTCAAGTTTCACTTGACCGAGGCCAAATACAAGTGGCGCAGCCGGTATGGCTGCTGCTATTGGTGCAAGAGCACCAAGCACAAGACCTCCCAATGCCAGGATCAAGGCAAGGAGGATGTTTGACCTTGAATTAGCCTGGGAAACTGAGCTGCGCGGGAGGTGAGGCGACTCTGCCTCTCACTCCGCCAGATTCGGCCGCCTTGCTAGCGGCCTCCTACACATCTGGGGAGAATATAGATGTCGTGAGTCCTCGTTTCACTTACGAGGATTACGATGTCCACTTGGTCCCACCGTTGGACCAACCACTCCACGTGCAACAATCCACCGCATGGACAGTTTCACCACAATCGGCAACCGATTCGGCAGATTCGCCCCCAACTTTCGTCAGGGATTCGACATCATGGTCAAAACTCAAGAGACTCGACCCGTTGACGTTCGCGGACTTCCAATGGATGCCCTTTCCCCCGATCGGTCGATTGTCGAAACCACATTGCAACGTGCTCATGGCACAATTGCGGGATTACGTGCACACTACAGTACCAACTCCGTTGATGGACGCCGGAGTAGAGGTTGCTGACCTTCACGACTACGTTGCAAAGATCGACCGCGAGTTCAAGACACAACGGCACGACGACATCGACGCGCTATTGTTGTACATACGCATTCAGACCGGAGAGGCGACCTGCAATGCTTTGATCGATAGCGGAGCTACTCGCAACTATATCAACCAAGACTTTATAGTATGCGTTGACCTTGGGCCACGCGTTCGGAGGAAGCCGCAGCCCATGCAAGTCACGTTGGCCGACGGTCAAACGCACAAGTCAATCGGTCGGTGCATTGATTTCGTCCCCGTGTACTTCGCCCCGCATGCATGCGAGGCCGTGTCCTTCGACATTTTGGACACCCAGTTCGACATGATTTTGGGCATGTCATGGCTGCGAAGCGAGGATCACCTTGTGAACTTCTACCGCCGCAACGTTCACGTTCGTGATCGGAATGGAGTACTTGTCCCATGCACGGTGCCTCCTCCTCACCCTTCGATGAGCTGCCATGTGGTGTCCGCCGCAAGCATTCCAGTTTCCATCTCTAAGGACGACATCGAGGAGATGGGGGTGTTTTCTCCACGCCCTCCCTCCCCATGACGCTTCATCGACGGACTCTTCTTCGGATCCACGCATCACCGAGCTTCTCGACGCCTACGGCAACATGTCCGAAGCCCCGCACGGAGTAGTACCGGATCGTCCCATCCGCCACGAGATCATCCTCGAGGCCGGGGCCGTCCCTCCGCGTGGTTGCATCTACCGCATGAGCGAGGAAGAGTTAAGTGTGCTATGGGTACAACTATACGACCTTCTTGAGAAAGGCTGGATTCGGCCTAGCTGTTCGCCATACGGCGCTCCCGTTCTCTTCGTCCGGAAGAAGAACAAGGACTTGCGGCAAGCTTGATCTCAAATTGGGATATCACCAACTTGAGATCCGGCAGGAAGACCGCTACAAGACCGCGTTCAAGACGCGATATGGGCATTCCGAATGGCTGGTCATGCCATTTGGCCTTACGAATGCCCCGGCGACGTTCCAAGCGGCCATGACAACGGAGTTCTGACACATGCTGGATAGATTTGTACTCATCTACCTCGACGATATCTTGGTGTACAGCCGAAGTTTGGACGAGCATGTGGAGCACTTGCGCACCGTTTTGGAACAGCTGCGACGGGCCAAGTACAAAGCCAACCGCGATAAATGCGAATTCGCACGGCAAGAGCTCGCGTACTTGGGCCATTTTGTGATGCCACAAGGCATCCGCCCGCTCACAGACAAGATCGAGGCCATCCAAGTATGGCCCGAGCTCACCAACACCACGAATGTTCGCTCATTCATGGGGTTGGCGGGCTACAATAAACGCTTCATCATCGGGTACTCAAGGATTGCCGCACCATTGACGAGATTACAATCGCCAAAGGTGCCATTCGTATTCGATGACGACGTGCGTCAGTCATTCCAAGCACTCAAGACGGCCATGCTCATGGCACCCGTCCTTAGCATCTACGACCCCACTTTGCCAATGCGAGTGACAACTGACGCTTCCGGCTATGGCATTGGGGCAGCCTTGGAAAAACACGACGGCGACGACTGGCACCCCGTGGAGTATTTCAGCCACAAGGTGCCTCCCATCAACTCACTTGATGATGCAAGGAAGAAGGAGCTGCTTGCATTCGTGATGGCTCTCAAGCGATGGTCACACTTCCTCCTTGGGCGGCGTCGGTTCACATGGGTCACTAACAACAACCCGTTGACCTACTACAAGACGCATGATACGGTGAGCAGCAGGATCGGACGATGGATGTACTTCATCGACCAATTTGACTTCTCACCGAAACATCTCACCGGCCTCTCCAATCACGCAGCAGATGCACTCTCGCGAAGACCCGATCTTTGCGCTATGACACATCATGCCTTCGCGTTCGGAGAGGGACTTCAACGGCATTTCATTCGGGGCTACCAGTCCGATCCAGATTTCACCACGCTATATGCACAACTATCTTCGGATCACCCACCGCCCAGCCATTATCACATCATCGACGGGTACTTGCTTCTCCACTCGTGAGGCGAGGACTTATTGTGGGTCCCACGAGACCGTCGTCTTTGGACTCGCCTTCTCGGCGAGTACCACGACTCACGACTCGCCGGCCATTTCAGAGTCAATCGGACTATCGCACGACTTCGGCAATGATTCCGGTGGCCCGACCTCATTACCGATGTCACTCGGTATTGTGACTCTTGTGAAGTTTGCGGTCGAAGCAAGCCCCGCAACCGCAATCCCTAGGGCGAGTTGCGCCCGTTGCCCATCCCAAGGTAACCCGGCCTCTCCATTGCTATCGACGTCACCGTTCCGTTTCCCCGCGACCGTCTCGGGCACGACAGCATCCTCACGGTCGTTGACCGATTGAGTAAATACGTGTGATTTCTCCCTTGCAAGTACTACCCCACCATCCTCGAAGTTGCGCGCCTCTTGCACACCGGCTGGATTTGCAGCCACGACGTACTGGAAGACATCGTCAGCGACAACGACACTCGTTTCATGTCGGCATTCTGGACTTCTCTCATGCAGGAATCCGACACCAAGATGAAACCAAGTTCGGCTCGGCATCCACAAACGGACGGGCAAACGGAGCGGGCACATCAAACCGCTCAAATGATGCTTCGTACGCTCATCCGTCCGGATCATAAGGATTGGGTTGATCGCCTTCCCAACATCGAGTTCGCCTACAACACTTTGTTACATTCGACAATCGGCGTGACTCCATTCGAGTTGCACCACGGTGGTCGGAAAGGCTGTATCTTCGCTGATCTTCTCCTTCCATGAATAGCCGACATAGACGCCGCTTTCTCTCCTGCTTCCATCCGGAAGTACAGGGAATTGCTGGCTCAAGCTCGCGCGAACATGCAAAAGGCTCAAGTCCGCATGCAGCAGCAAGCCAACAAGCGTCGCGTGCCATGTCCCATCCGCGACGGTGATCTGGTTTGGGTCTCCGCGGGAGAGTTTGCACTCGAACAGGATGTTTCGTGCAAACTACTCCCCAAGTGGTTTGGACCATGGCCCGTAACATCAGTCGCAGGCGATGAGCCCGATGGCCCCTCATTTGTGGTCAACATTCCCCCGCATCTGACGGTCTATCCAGTCTTTCATGCCTCGAAGCTGGCGACATACAAACCAGCTAAGAGCGATGACTTCTCGGGTGGACGATCACAAGACCCTCCATCTATGGATGGTCATCAGGAAGTCGACCGCATCATCACGGATTGCAAGTACGGCAGCAAGCCTCAACAGTACGAAGTTACCTTCAAAGCATGCGATCCCGACGACACTCGATGGATTGCAGGAGCAGATTTGAAAGCATCCGCACCGCTGATCTATGCTCACTACGAACGACAAAGGTTAGCTAAGGGAGTTTCACGACCTGCCCCTCCCACCCAGACTTTGGTCCCTCCCTCAGACAGGCAGCTTTGCCCTCGCAGGTAAGCTCGGTCTTTCAAGGAGGGGGAGGGTGGCATACTGCGCAGCCACACGTGCCTTTAGGGCCCGACCAGACGGAAAATAAGGGCCCTACAGGCCCTGTGTCGTTTCAGCCTAAAAGCCTGAAAACGAGGGCCATTTTCAGGCCCTCATAAAGTCGACCTGCCCTGAAACTCAGGTGCCAGACCAGGGTTTAGCACAGGCCACTTTTGGGCCTGTTTCAAGACAACATTTGTTTGAACTTCAACGCCAGGGTCTAGCACGTTTCGGCATTGGCAAGAGCAGCCTCCCGGACGGGCCAGCACTACATAGAACTGGCCCGCCCTGCAGGCTGCAGGTAGCTCATAGGGACTTCCCAGGCAGTTCACGGGCACTTCACGTGCAGGAGGCAGGAGGCAGTCTTCAAGATTCGGCAGCAGCACTCTGGAGGAGCGCAGCAGTAGTAGTAGCAGCGTTAGGAGTAGTCTTCAGCGCTGGGCGCTATTAGGAGCTAGAGTAGCGTTGGAGAGAGAGAGAGAGTTGGCGGAGGCCAGGGAGACTTACCTGTGGGGCCATGCTCCAGCTTCGTCTTCGAGGTACCTGCAACCAGGCACCACCTTCACAGGTTAGTACCGGACTCTGAGAGAGAGAGAGAGTTCTTCTTCTTCCTCTTCTAAGTCCACCATCTCTCCTTCACCCTCTCGCTACCTAACTTCTCAGTATCTGCAGACCACGAGAGAGAGAGAGAGAGAGAGAGAGAGAGAGAGAGAGAGAGATTGGTGACTTTGGGACTTGACGACATTTGGATTCAGACTCGACATTGGGATTGAGACATTGGACGAGGGATTATTTGGGACCTGTACCGAAGACTTGGTGTTGACGATATTCCCATCTTCCCTTCTTCTTCGTCTGATCCCCTTCTCTTCGTCTGTGTATGCTCTGGACCTGGCGCCTTCTTCCTGTGTGTAGCGCCAGGCCCTTCACACCTTGCGATGATGATGATGTATGTTTGGTCAGCATTGCGACATTGGTTGGTCGGATCATTGGTATATTAGCCTTCAGCTGCGCTATCCTGTACTATGTGAGAGAGGTCGGTTCTTGTTCTGGTCTGTACCGTTACAGTATGAGACTCTCTCTCTCTCTCTCTCTCTCTCTCTCTCTCTCTCTCTCTCTCTCTCTCTCTCTCTCTCTCTCTCTCTC